GGCCTGCCTGCAATCGCCTGCCTGCAATCGCCTGCCTGCAATCGCCTGCCTGCAATCGCCTGCCTGCAATCGCCTGCCTGCAATCGCCGTCATGCGGGGCGAGTAAATGGCCATTGTGAGCGGGATCTCAAATTTTGCTGGCAGGTGCAGAATCCCTCCATGGCCGTGCGCTTAGGCTCGGGCGCCAAAGAGGCTTCCGGCCTGTGCTTTCTTTTTCCGGCCTGCTCCCGTGGAGCCCGTCTGGATTTGCCCACTTTGCTCACCGCACCTTTCCGCCAAATACACCTCCTCGGCACACCCACGCCTACTGCCCGGGCCCATCACTCCAAGCGCACTTGCGAGCCCAGCGTACACCTTTTTTTTTTTTTCTGTAAGTTCCACACCCACGCCCTGGTGCAGTCTCCCAAAAATTGCGTCGGCCCCATATCCAGGCTATCGAAGCGTCACAAACACGCCAACCCCGGAGCACCCCTTTTGTTTTCCGCCCACTGGACCCCCGCTTTACCCGCTCTCCCGTTTCCCAGATTTCCAGCTTTTCTCGCTTCTCAAGACTCTCCAGATTCTCCAGCTTTCGAGCTTTCCGCTTTCCCGCCTTCCAGCTTTCCCGCTTTCCAGCAGCGCCCCTCCTGGCGCCCCTTTTTGCTAGCCGCCCGCCGCTTTTGTGACCCCGCGCGAGCCGCCGTCCACCCCTGCCAGCATGCCGTCGCCGGCCACTCTCAGCGCCCCCGTGGCCTTCCCCAAAAGCACCGCGTCGCCGGCGCCCCATCCGCAGCCGCCGCCGCAGGACGTCGGCGCCGGCCGCGCCGGCAGCAACAGCCCCGTCGGCGCCGGCGCGTACGGCTCGCAGGGCAAGTCGCAGACCGTGTTCATCCATAAGCTCTTCGACATGCTCGAGGACGCGAGCCTATCGCACCTCATCTGGTGGCTGCCCACGCAAGACTCGTTTTGCCTCTACCCCGGCGAGGAGTTCTCCAACGTGTTGGCGCAGTACTTCAAGCACACCAACATCGCGTCGTTCATCCGGCAGCTCAACATGTACGGGTTCCACAAGGTGAACGACAACTTCCAGAACGACGACAAGCAGCAGGCCCAGGGCGGCGGCGCGGAGCACGGCGGCGCGGCGCTGGCGCCGCCGCAGACGCGCTGGGAGTTCCGCCACTCCGCCAACCACTTCCGCAAGGGCGACGTGGAGGCCTTGAGCTTGATCAAGCGCAAGTCGTCCAAGGTGATCAGCTCGCACAAGGAGATCGTCAGCTTGAAGACGCTCCCGCCCACGTCGCACGCGCACGTGGACGACGCCAAGCCGGGCAAGCCGGCGGCCTCGCCGAAGCCCTACGCCGTGCCCATGTACCCGTCGCCCTGGGCGCCGCCCGCCGCCAAGAACCACATGCGCCAGCCCTCGGCCGTGTACGCGGCCGGCTCGCCCGGCATGGGCCTGTACGCGTACCCGCTCTACGCGCCGCCGGTGGCGATGCCGCGCCTGCCCAGCTCGCCGGGCCTCTCGGACCCGCCGCTCCCGTCGCCGTCGTACTTCCTCCACCAGCCGCTGCACCCGACGCCGCTCCTGCAGCACGCGCCCGCGTCGTCCGCGGACCAGGCCGTGCACTTGAAGTTGCTCGAGTTGGGCACGGCCGTCAACGGCTTGAAGGCCGCGTACCTGGACTTGCTCGCGCGCCACGAGTCGCTCGCCGTGCTTCACCAGCGCAGCCAGGCCGACGTGTTCCAGCTCAAAGAGCTCATGGACAGGTGCGCCGCCGCCGCGGACGCCCCGAGGCGCGACGACGTGGTCGACCGCAAGTTGGCCAACACCCCAGTCAACCGCGTCGGCTCCCCGGGGCACGACGGCATGTCGCCCACCTCGGTCCGTCCGCCCGCGTATAAGGACCAGCCCCGCAGCCTGGCCACGCCCGCCGACGCCCCGGCGCGCCCGCCGCTGAAGCCGCCCCAGAGCTACCACCTCAGCGACGCGTCGCGGCCCGTGCCGGCGCCGGGCATCGTGCCCCAGGCGTACCCGCTCAACCCGAACTACACCTTGTACAACAGCGGCGACGGTGCCGCAAGGCCCGCGGCCCCGGTGGGCGACGAGCCGCTCCCGCTCGCGGCGCGGCCCGCTGCCAATCGAC